GGACGAGCGCGTACTGTAGTGATTTCGCGTCAAGTTAAATAGAATGTCCATTGCACGTCCTACATCGCACATCACGCGCTGCAACTCGTCCGCTGACTCTGCCTTCTTGCCGCGCGACGGGCCTCCTGTCGGGTACCCCAATCGATAGCATCCGAAAAGCCCATTTCGACGGGTTTGACTGGACTGAATAACATTTGTAAACGTGAACTCAATAGTGCTAGAATTTTCATTACATTCCATTTCCGAAAATTTGAACAGAAGGGATAATCAGCGAAAAATACGAGGCTCCTAATTCATAGTAATAGTAGATCTTGGCAGTACACCAGTTTTCAGTGATCCAAGCGCGCCAGCATGTCCATGAGGCAGGGTGACCATGGCCAGAAGCACTGACCCATTGCCGCGCGCGGCCAGTTCATGTCGCAGGGTGACCATTACCGCAGGTACTGACCCACAGCCCGGAAGGTCCTGGTCCATCCAGGACAATCAGACGATCATTCTGCAGTTGATCATTTCTGAGTGTGTGCTTTCATGAGCAGCTGTATGCTGTGACAGCTTTTGGACCATTTTTGTATAATTTTTACATAGATATTGTTTTGCGTAATTGGAATTCACTCTTCTATGCTTCTTGTTCTGATTTGCCTAAACCATACTTGTTATGAATCCGATCCTTATACCGATGAAAGCTCTATCAAATTGTAAATCACCCTCTACTTTACCGTATCAACTGCTTTGCGACTTCAGTTTCGCTATGTATGCAGCGTAACTTTGTAATTCCTCATTGTTTTCATGCTAGTTGCTTCCTCCATATCAGTCTATCTACTCATTGACACTACTTGCCACGTTTTCTCTTCTTCGGTGTATGAATGCGGTTGTTGCGATGAAAATCAATCAAAAAATAATTTAGCGAGTGAAGACGGTCGGGAAAGTGCCTGTTATCCCTAGCGGCAACCAGATGCGGTTCGAGTTGCAGACCAACAACACAAAGGAAACCACTTGGCTGTAACGACGGCCCTCAGGAGACATCTGATAACTAAGGGGCAGTTAGTAATTCTTAACTGAGAATATATTTGTAGTATGAGTTCAGGTAACTTGATATTATGGAGTAACTACTGACGTGCTGCAGAAATTAAGGGCTGCGGGAATAAGCATATCCTCATCCAAAACTACATTTGGTTAAGGCCGTCGTCATTATGTGTTGTGTGATCTGCGCCTCGACGCGCCACTGTTACAGGAAAAACAGAAGCTATATTTGTAACTGGCCCAGCAAAAAGCATTAGCATAAAGGGGAATTGGAGCGCGCACAAACTACTTGATTTTTCCTCGCTATGGTCTGCCCGCCTGCATCGCGCGCAGAGGACAGCGACGATTAGTGCGATCCAAACATATGATCCTTTTGCGACAAGCCTGTGGGAGTGAGGAGAGAGGCGGCACGCTGAGAGCAGCGCAGATCGTCACGGTTTCAAGGGAACCGAGATTCAAGTAATGTCTTTAACCCTCGTTCCGACCCTACACCTTCAGGGTTTATCCACGGTAGTTGCCGATGTTATGTGCTGTGAAATTTCTTCGAAACTGCCACTCAGTTGATGGTCACAATAATGATTCGTATACTAATAACCTTAGAGGTTGCATAATAGATGAAAGAGGTTTTAGCACAGCCACTGCGTGCCCCCCCCCCCTTTCCCAGGGGGTAGTGGCCTTCACCTTAGCGACCAGCAAAACGACGGTTCTTCCATTGCGCAAAGAGTGATTCAAAGCGCTCTCTCTAAGGCTCAATCGGTTTCTCTGATCACACGCCTTGTGGACTCTCGTAGCTGGTGCCCTTTTGCAGCGAACACAAAGCTTGCGCACTCGATGTCGCAAAGACAGTAAATTAGTTCTTGGGGCTTGTGATTCACTTATGTGTGTAAGCCACCCTTCCGCGCCTGTTAATGTCGGACCAATTTTTTGATACCTCCTAGCTCACGGCATTCCCACCCTTTCACAATACTCAATCACATACCCCTCGCAGAGAATGCCATAGATCGACCGGAACATCGCGCTACACTCTCGTGCACCTGTTTCGCAAGAGGGAGCAGAAATGCCTGTGTTTTCTGTTTCGTCAAGCCATGGCGAAGATCCCAGATAGTCGGCGGACGCTTGAATAATACATTTTTCTGTGTCGGCTTCTAGGTGTGAAGCGGTTAGTGCGACGAACGGTCGTAAAGTGCCCTCTTTCCCTGGCAACCAGATGCGCGTCGAGTGCAGACCACACAACACAAGTAACGACGGCCCTCAAGCACCTGATAACTAGTAATTTTCACTGATAGTTGATAGTTGGTAACTGATATTAGAGACTACTGACGGCTGAGAATACAACTGCAATCGGCTAATCCTAATCCAACTACATTTTGTTGAGGCCGTCGTCATATGTGTTGTGTGATCTGCACTCGACGCGCACCTGTTACAATGAAAGAGAAGGTAAGTTTTTGATATGTCCAGCAAAAACTATTAGCATAAGGGGAAATGGAGCCGCATTTCGTGGCCTGCGTCGCGAAGTTGGCGATCTTTGCAGTCGTGAGTTATATGACCGCAGCCTATGAGATGAAAAGGACTCTGGTTTCGACATGCCTCACTTTGGTTTTGATTCTAAATCTTTGCGCGGGAAGGCGAACGAATCCCAATCGGAGGCACGGCCAGCGGGTCTACGGTCACAGTCGTCCGCCGTCCTGTTGTTATCTGTCTTGCTCCACCCAACAGGCCCACCGCGCGGCGAAGCAAGAGACGCAGATGCGGCAAAGAGACGAGTTGCAGCGCGTGCTGTGCGATATGAGACGTAGTATGGTACACTCTCTTTAACCTGACGCCTAACCGCTACAGTATGCGCTGCGACTCGTCCCTTTGCCGCGTCTGCGTCTTTGCTTCGCCGCGCGGTGGGCCTGTTGGGGACACCCCCTTAAGTTGAGGAGGCCAAGCACAGGGTTGCTCGTCCGTGTCGTTTCAGCAAAATATTGTAAACCCGTAAATTCCAGCTTCCCCTTAAAATAAACTTGCGGTGAAATTGGACCATGCGAGTCGTGGTACTTTGTTCGTCTACACCTACAGGGCTAGCTGCGTCTGTATTCGAAACTGCCAAAGTCAAGTCAAAAATCATGAACCTATAGACTAACCCATAAAGTGCAGACGAACCGAGTTGCGGCCACCGCGTAGCCCACGCCCCCCCCCCCCATTTGCCCAGGGGTTGGATTACTAGGGACAGAAACGCGACTTTTGTCCGCGCTTCTATCGGGCGAAAACCTGCCAGGTCCACAGTTGATCCACGGTGCCCCGAGCTCCCGCAGCGATCAACGCTTCACACTGCGAAACAGCAATAATAAGTCGCTTGTCCTTAGTGAACCACACCGCCCCTCCAGCTTGTTTTGGACCCCAACCTTTCTAGCCACCTTCCTAGCTCACGATTCGCCCTTTCAACAATACACTACACCCTGTCGGCGAGAATCATAAGACGAGCAGAGCATCGCGCACACTGCTATTCGTTCACTGTTTCGGCAAGAGGGAGCAGAAATCGGACTGTGTTCTGTTTCTCAAGCATGGCGGAGATCCAGAACTCGGGAGCTTTGAATAACCTACCTTGCCCGTTCTTGTGTGCTCAATTTTTTTACGAACATAGTACTCTCTTGTATGTTCTAACCGTTGCTACCTGTTGGTGATAGGAGAGGATAGTACTCACCGCGTACCGCTATCGCGTCGAGAGGCGGCAGACACGAGCAACTGCGAGCTTTTTTTAAGAACAACATTATTTCTACTTAACGTTGAAGTGCCGCTGCTTTGGCGGGTGCTATACAAGTGGGTGGGCACAACGCCAGTTTTTCAGGCGTGCCACATGGCTGCCCTCACCCCCAACCCCCTAGACTGGCTTTCTACCACCTTCCTGGCTCACGAATTCCCTGATTCTCGAGACAATATCGTAGCAAGCAGCAGATCCACATTCATACATTTCCGTTCAAAAAATGCGGCGTGCCCACCCTACTTGTATAGCACCCTTTCGCGATCTAATATCGATCCCTTGACCGATCTCTCGAGAGGGTGCCCATTAATGCTTGTTCTGTGGCTCGCCGCACTCCGACTACTTCGTCCACAAACGTGCAATCTTCAGCGCTGGTTGTGATCCTAGGACAGTAACAGCGAATTTTCGCCAGGCTCCGCAACGCGAAACATTCCGCTGCGGAAGACCCACGTGTACCCCTTTGATCATCAATGGACCCGAGATTCCCGCAGCAAGAAAATCAGCGGAGGTGCTAACTTAAAACATTCCAGCTTTTCACGCATGTCAAGTGACTGCCCCCACCCCCACCCCCCTAGTCTGCCTACACTCCCTTGCCCCACTGGCCCACGAATTTCCGAACATGCCAGGCGAGCAGACTGCCGCGCCGCCGCGTGGCTCCCCCCCCAACTAAGTTAGCAACCTCAGCGGACCCGAAGTTCCGCACGAAAAAATGTTCTGCTCTGCGAAGATCTGCGAAAAAATCCGCTGTTCTGAACCTAGTGAACCACACCCCTTTCAGCCTTAGCACCTTCTGTCTTGGGCAGCACATATCGCACGGCTGTCATCTGTAAACTACCTCTCCAAACCTTTTGGAGATCTCTATATATAATAAATGAGCTTCAGAACTTTCTCTAAGAAAGTGGTGCTAAGTGGGTTCGGCGCGGCCTCTGTCGGACCTGCTCCTCCAAGGCCTAGTCTAAGGCCGTCACGATTTTCCGCCACGTGCCAGTTTCCGAAATACGCGCCACCGGCGAACTAAAGCCTAGCCTTGGATGACAACGAAGAGAGCCCGCGATGGCCGCGTTCTCTCCCCCCCCCCCTCAACCCACTTAGCACCCTTTTAGTATTCAACTTGTTCCTGACGTTCCGCCGTCATCTGTGTTTGGACTTACAATTGATCCCTTGGCGCTATAGCAACACTTTGTTTCATTAATTCTTCGTTCCAGCTCGTGCCATTCAACTTCTATCTTTTCATCAAATGCCCAAAAGGACCGCTCCATCCGGGAACGAATTGAAGGAAGAGAGGAGAACAAAAAGAAGACGAGGGAGATTCTCAGAATTGGAAGGTATGGTCACCTTCAAACATCTACCGTTATTCTACCAGACATACGTTAGGAATGCCGAGCTTTATTTACCGGTTTATCAATACCAGTTTAGCTCCGCACACTACCGCGTGCATGGCATCGAAGGCTTCGGTGAAACTGGACAGTCGGTGGAGGGTCAAATTCCACCGGTACGAAATAAAATTCTTCGTGAAATGCGTTAGCTGACTGTCCGCTTGATACGCGCGGTGGAGTGCGGAGCTAAAGTGATGTCTGTAAACAACCACCATGCATCGAATGTCAAAATATTTAGCGGTCGAACAATCTTCAATACTACGCATGTTGGAATCTAAATACCCAGCACTCATTATCATGTTTCTTAAAACATCCATCGGACATTTTTTGGAACTCGGGGGAGTGTAGCGGCCGAATGGTAATTTTGCTGAAGAATGATATGGAAGTGAATTGCGCTATTTCAAATGTGTTTTTGACTTATCTCCACAGTCGTACACATATCGTTGTTATCAGTCCTTATTGGCCGTTATCACTTTCTGTCCCCTACCAAACATGTTTCTGTCCCACCCTGCACATCCCTTCAAGGAACCAACGCCCCACTGCTGCTGGGACGCGAGCTATGAATTTCGTGGAAATTCGCGTTCTAGCGCCTCTTATCAGCTCTTATCAGTCGTTATCACTTTCTGGCCCCCACCAAACATGTTCACCGTCCCACCCTGCACATCCCTTCAAGGAACCAACGCCCCACTGTTGCTGGGACGCCAGCTATGAATTTCGTGGAATTCGCGTTCTAGCGCCTCTTATCAGCTCTTATCAGTCGTTATCACTTTCTGGCCCCCACCAAACATGTCAACGTCCCACCCTGCACATCCCTTCAAGGAACCAACGCCCCACTGTGCTGCTGGGACGCGAGTTATGAATTTCGTGAAATTCGCGTTCTAGCGCCTCTTATCAGCTCTTATCAGTCGTTATCACTTTCTGACCCCCACCAAATGTTCCCGTCCCACCCCCTATATCATGTCCCAAAATCAGCTCCTGACGACTGCTGCGAAGCGCACTATGAATTTCGTGAAATTTGTGTTTCAGCGCCTCTTATCTGCTCTTATCAGTCGTTATCACTTTGTGACCCCCCACCAAATATGTTCCCGTCCCACCCCCTATATCATATCCCAAAATCAGCTCCTGACGACTGCTGCGACGCGTGCTATGAATTTCGTGACACACCACACACACACAGACAGACATAGCGCTTTATATATAGTAGGGATCCTTCTTTCCCAACTGTTGAGCGCCGATGGACCATTTCTAAACAAAATTCGCTGCGCCGCCATCCACCATCACCTAAAAATCCTCAAGGCGCTCAACACCAGTAAGCTCATCCTCCACCCTCCCAGAACTCGCCTTACACCCGCCCTGGCGCAAAGGTTCATCGGAACGTACAGGGAGCCGCTGCAGCCAGGGGCGACGTGGAGCTCCAGTTCCGGCGTGGCGGCGCTGAGGCAGTTATTTAGACGCTCCGCATCACGATGCCCCCCCCACATTCACCGGATGAGGCGTAAATTTCTGGCATTCTTCATAAGGAGGTGCTCGGACTTTCTTAGGTTGAACGTGGATCGCATATGGCAGCGTTATAAAACGACTGTTGGGTTCTGGCCGTAGGCTGGTCAGCTGAAAAGTTTGAAAGAAAGGCCGGGTCTATTCCAGTTAGAGCATCTGCGGTGACTCCCAAAAAGCTATGGTAACTCCAAGCCAGGGGGGTGTAGCCAGCCTAGGGTGGTGGGGGTGGCAGTCACCGGTCACCAGTCACGAGTTTACATTAGCTCCCAAGAAACTGTATCATGATGCCCTCCCCCAACTGGAATAGACCCGAAAGGCCTGTGCTTAAGCCGAACGTTAGGCTGACGCTTAGGCTTGTTACGAGCAAACCATAGGTGTCTTATCTGAATTGACCTGAACTGAGGAGGAGAATTGAAATACACTCCTAGTCTTTCGCGCTGCGTTGGAAAATGAATCACCAATTACAAATCAGTCCATGAAAAATAAAGCTTTGAGCCTGGTTGAGTGAATTCTATAAAAATTCACGCTTCAGATGATGTCTGTGAGACAGCCGTTTTGGAATCGGCCGAAAGCCTTCGCGTTTCCTCACCCACTCCAACGAAGGTGGGTGCATATTCGTCTTATTTTATTTTCTTCAAGGGAATCCACTCATTTCCCATAATCTAAACAGCTGAAGATGTCTATTTTAACCATAAGACTGCGCTCGATAACAATCAGTCAAAGTTGAATAATTGGCGTTCTTTATTTAGCATTCAACCTGCAGTTCCAGGACTATTTTCCATGGCGTCGACTGCCACAGGAGCTGAAGGTGAAGATTCTCCAGTATCTCCGCCGGATAGATCTCTACAAATGTCGCTTGCTGAATCGAGATACATGCAACCTTATTCGTCGCAACATAAAGCTGATGAAAAAAAGAATCATAGGCAGCCTGGAAATAGAACCTTGGGTTCGTTACCCGTAATTTTTTTGTAGTTTCATCAATTTATCGTTTCATTTGTCAGGGTATTATCTGTTCCTCAGATGGGCCAATTAAAATTGGGTTTCTTCTCAAAGGTCTTGTTGTTGCAGAGCCTGTGGTCACCAACTGTTTTCACTGTCCGGAGTTATGACCTCTTGAATGTACGGCGTTTCGACGAACAACCGACCACTTTAAGAGGCGTAAGTCCAGCTTGACCTCTCGTTCACTTACTAATTTTGATCTATCTTTTCTTGGATATTCGAACTAAATTCACAAAGAAGAACAGCAAGGAATCTTTCTAAACCGCACAACGTTTCTGCGCAATTTCAGACATTCTACGACAAGGAAGGAAGGATGTTCATCAAGATTCCCCGATACCTTCCAAAGGCTCTCAAAAACTCGGTTGTCCGTCGTCTGGAGATCGAACAGGTTGGTAAAGCTACATGAGTTACCGGCTGCCTTTTTAGCTGATAATACTTTCAAAAAGTTCTTGGCTTTCTTGGTGTGCCCGGTGCCAGAGAGAAACAAAATTGTTCACACCCTCCCACAGAATCCCTTCTCCTCCCCAAAGCTTAGTCCCAAGCGCAGTGCCTTGCCTCTCTCACCGTCCTACCAGCATATGAGCACCGTCAAACGCATGTTATCGTTTTTTCACCCCCTTCATTACTTGTAGGATTCTGATCATACATTGACAGCAGTAGCACACTTTACGGCGGACGAAAAAGTACCACTATCACGCATGCTAGCGATTACCTGATTGCCATCAACGTTCTTAACCATTGGGCCGATGTCAGACTTTGTGAATCGAGCGATTCGCTAGCGAAGTCACGGTTCGAAGACTAGCATCGACCCTGCGATTTGATCGTGCGATTGCGTGACCACACGTGAAGTGCAAACGAAGTGCCATGCAGTCGTATAGTATAATGGCACTAAATGAGTGCGGAAGACAAAGGATACAAGTAAAGAACGTTGTACCGTATCATACACTATTCAGGGTACGTCATGGGCAATGTCAGCCATCGGTAATTCTTGGGAATTTCCACGACCTTTTTGGGCCTTGATATGACGCTCTCCTCACTGAACGGGTGTGCATGGAAATTAACATGTGG